TGGTCCCACATCTCGTTGATCTCCTTCTGCTTGGCGTACGTCTGCTCGGCGGTGTCGGGATGCGATTGCATCAGCCTATTGGCGGTCTCGTCCAGCTGGCGGATCTTGTCCCGCAGAGCGGCCAAATCCCGCTCCACTCCCTCGTGCTTGCGCTGCAAAGTCTGGACACTGCGCAGATCCTTGCCCAAGTCGTCGTTGTTCAGGGCATTGGCCTTCTCGGCAATCCAGTCCTTGGTCTCGTCGATGTCGCGATGGAAGCGCTGCACCTCGTGGGCGGAGCCCAGTTGGCTGGCCTTTTCGGCGGTCAGAGTCTGCAGATTGTTCCACTTCTCGTTGAGATCCTGCATCTGCGTTTGGATCTTCAGGGCGGCCTCCGTTTGTCCCAGTGAAGTCAGCTGCACGGCAATCTCGTTCATGTTGGCCAGACGCACTTCGTTGGCTTTCAGGTCGTCGTTGAAGTCGTCGAACTTCTTTTGGAGAACCTCTACCTCCTCCAGATCCTCGCCCACAACATCGGCGATCTGGGCGTGGTTCTCCTTGTCTCTGATCCACTGGGCCAAATCGGCAGCCTCGCGAACGAGGACGTACGCCTTTACGGTCTCATTCAACTTATTCTGACGCTCGCGGGCGAGAGCCAAAAGATTATCGTACTGCGAGTTGATTTGGTTCTGTCGCTTGGCAATCGAATGGTTGTCCACGAGGTTCTGCTGCGAGGCACTCAAACCGGCTTCAATCTTCTTGATATAAGCAGCTGGGACGAAACCCTGACGATCGTTGACCTCCACCTTCCACCAGTCCTTGTTGTTCGAGTTGAGGAGAGTCAACACATCGCCCTTCTTCATGGACACCTCACGCGGGGATTTCTCGGTGTAATCGTAGAGAGCCACCACGCATTCTTTGCCTGTGATATCCACCACAGGGGTCTCCTGCTGGCGGCAGTTCTTGGCCTGCTCCTGCAGCGCCTGGATGGTGTTGCCAAAGGCCTCGAGATCCGAGACGAGAGCCTCGTGCTTCTTGAGCAGCGCCTCCGAGGAATCCTCGTCCTTGCCGTAATCACTGCCCGTGGCAATCGGCTCCTTTTCGCGCATCCACGACTCCGCCTCGTTGGCATCGGCAAAGTACTGATGCGCCTGCAGCGAGTCGTCCAAATCCTGTTTGCGCTGGCTGGACTTCTCCTTCAGCGTGTTCCACTGATCTTGCAGGGCCTCCAGACGCTGACGGATGTCGTCGCTGGCGAAGGGCTGATCCTTCAGCATGTTCTCGCCTGAGCTAATGACATTCAACAGTCTAGCCTCATGGTTATTGATCTCAGCGAGGACAGCCTGGTGCTTCTTGATCAGATTCTGCACGCCAATCAAATCGCGACCGCGGTTGGTCGAAGCAGCAATGGGTTCCTTCTCGCGAATCCAGGCAGCCTCATCCTCCAAGTCGCGGAAGAGCTGCTGCACCTGCAGCGAGTCCAGCAGATGCTGCTTCCTCTCGCCCATGGGCGCCGCCAAGGCGGCATAGCGAGCCGAGAGATTGCCCTCCTTGTTGCGAATGTTGTCGGCATCAAAGTGACCCGACTCAATGAACTTATTCGCGGCCACCTTGATGCTTTCGATGCGATCCTGGTGGGCCATCACATCGGCCTCCAGCAGAGCGTGCTTCTTCTGCAGATTCTGTACAGAGGTCAGATCCTTGCCATGATCCTCGGACAGCAGCTGACCCTCAATCTCGCTCAGCCAGAGCTCAATGTCCTCGATAGTCCTGTTGAATTGCTGCTGCTGGCAGGCCTCGTTCAGCTTGGTGCCCTTCTTGTCCGAGGCCTGGACGAGCGTCTCCCACAGGACGACGATCTCCTGCATGCGAGTGTTGATCTGATCGGCGGCATAGTGCTGCTTCTCAATCAGCTCGGTGCCCACATTCGTAATATCCTCAATCCTCGACTTGTTGGCATTGAGTTCGTGCTCAAAGTTCTGGTGCTTCTGCATCTTGCCATTGAGATTAGTGGGATCCAGGTAGCTGTCGTCCGTGGCAAACTTTAGCTTCTCGCTGATCCAGCCCTTGGTTTCGTCGCAGTCCCGCTCGAATTGCTGATAGCGGTTGGAGTCCTCCAGCAGCTGGCGACGTCGCGAGGATTTCTCTTGGAGAGCAGCCCGCCTGGCCAAAAGCATCTGGCGACGCTGAGCCACATCATCAGCCGCATAGTGCTGGCCATCAATCAGCTTGGTGGCAAAGATATCCAGCGCTTTGATCTTCTCCTCCTGGGCGGCCAGACTCTTCTCAAAGTCCTCGTGCTTCTTGATGAGAGCCTCCACTGAATCCAGAGAATCCCCGAGATCCTCATTCGCCAGAAAGGCCTCCTGCTTGGCCATCCAGGTGTCGGCCTGCTCGGTGTCGCGGTAGAAGAGTTGCAAATCCATGCACTGCTCGTAGAGGATGCGGCGATCCTCCCACAGCGACAGCAGCGAGCTCTTGTCGTTCTCCAGAGCGGCCAGCTTCTCCTGAATCTCGGCGGCGGCATAGTGCTCACGCTCGAGGAGTTTCTGCCCGGATTCGGTGGTCAGCTTGAAGCTATCCTCGCGCGCATCGATCTCGCCCTTGTGCTCCTGGTGGCGCTCCAGCAGAGCCTCCGCACCGGCCACATCCTTGGCCAGCTCGTCGGCCGAAATGATGGCCTTCATGCCGTTGATCCAGGACACCAGATCCCGGAAGTCGGCGAGGAAACGGTGCAGGTAGTAGGACTCATCCAGCTTCTGCTTGCGCTCGCGCGCCTTGGTGGTCAAACTCTGCCAGTAGTTGGCGATCTCGGACTGCTTGTCGCGGATCTGGTCGCTGTGATCGGCGTGAATGGAGCAAAGGCGCTGGGCCTCCGCCCCCAAAGTGGATACCTTGTCCTCCAGCGCAGCCAAATCGCGCTCCACTCCCTCGTGCTTGCGCTGCAGCGCCTGAACACTGGCCAAATCGCGGCCATAATCATCCGATGAGAGCACCACATCCTTCTCGGCAATCCAGGCGACAGTCTCGTCGGCATCGCGATTGAAACGCTGGATCTCGTGGGCCCCGAAGAGCTTCTCCTGCCGCACAATGGCCAGCTGCTTCAAGCGCTGCCAAGCTTCATTCAGCTCCTCCTTGCGCTTGGTGATGGTATCCCTCTCTGGATGACCATCCTGCACTAGTTTATCGGCCAACTGGTTGACCTCGGTCACACGATACTCCTGCGAGGCCATGTCCTTCTGGAACTCATCGAACTTGCGCTGCAGCACCTCCACGTGCTCCAAGTCCTGGCCAAACTCATCGGCGGTCACGAAGGTCTCCTTGTCCTTGATCCAGAACATGACCTCCTCGCACTGGCGAAGGAATTGCACCAGGACAAGAGCCTGCTGAAGCTTCAAGCCCTTCTCGGCCAGCCGGCTGAGGAGCAACTCCCACAGCTTGTGGAGTTCATCGAGACGCACCTGAATCGACTCGGAGGCAAAGTGCTGCTGGTTGATCATCTCCTGACCCGTGTTGTCCAGCGAAACGATGGCATTGCTGTGCGCCGACACCTCCGCCTCGAAGGCCTGGTGCTTCTGGATCTTGGCCTGCAGATTGGTGGGATCGCGGTAGCTCTCCTCGCTGGCCGCCTGCAGCTTCTCGTGGATCCACGACTCCAGCTCGTCGGCATCGCGCTTGAAGTACTGGAAGCGGCGCGAATCCTCCAGCTTCTCGCGCTTCTGGCGCGTCTCGATCTTGAAGTCATTGTAGCGCGAGAGCACCTGCTCACGCCGCTCCTGGATGTCCTCGACTGTCTCGAGGATCTTCACCTCCTTGGGTGTGAAGTTCTCCATTTCGATGGTTCGTTTGCTTGTCTAGTTTATTCTTTCGTTCGTTTTGATATTGATATTGCTGTGGTGGTTTAGAAATTAGTTTTAATTTATTTTTAAGTATTTCATTTAGATTTTACCTTGGGCTCCTCTGGGCGCTGTTTTTATTTTAATTTAATACTGCTACTTCCTCTTCATCAAACGTTCGACCGTGCTCAACTGCAAAAGGAAATGGAGGGGGAATAATTAGTTTAATTCGGTTTAATCAGCACAAACGCAACCAGACTGAGTCAATTACTTAATCGTTGGGTCATTCATAAGATGGGGAAAAAAAACAACCATGGGAATAAATAACTTAAAAACAGTTGAGGCTGGCATTTCACAAATTTATTATCTTTTAAGCTTGTTTGGATATTTCTGAATTTTGTTTTAAATTCTGAGAGTATCATACTCATTTTGTAGTATTTTTATTTTAATTCATTCATTTGATTTTACGTCGCCTAATGGAATTTATATTATCTTGAAAAGGGAAGCAAAATAAAAACAAACAAATGTAGAGCTTATTTATTTGTAATTTAAAGCTTATTGTGGTATTTCTGTTTTTTGAATTAAATTCTGAGAGTATCGTCCTCATTTCGAAGTATTTTTTTCATTCTTTTGTTTTTGCGTCGCCTAATGAAATTTATATTATCTTTAAAAGGGGAAAAAAACAAACAAATGTAGAGCTTAAAAACGATATAGGAATCCCCTTATATAACAATATTTTCTTTAAATTTTTAATTTAATATAAATATTTTTGTTTCAGCCGAATTTGTATAAACTCACTTTTAGAATTTGGTACCCACATATTTTTTAGCACCCTGGTTTTTTTATCACATACCTAAAATCATATTTATGTAATTTTTATACATTTAGAATGAAAGTTCCAAACTTCCTTCTAAACAATTTAAAATTTGTAACTGTCTTACTAATCATTGTATAATTTTCCCCACATATTTCTCACTTAGTTGTCGACTGCTCCTCAGGTCGATGATCACATCGATCGACAGCCTCGTCCCCTTTTTTCGTAACCTCAACGCTTGCACACACAACTACTCCAAAGCAAACTAAAACTGCGAAAGTGACGCATTCTCCCTTGCTGATTAGGTTCCATCGGCTATCGCTATCTTATCGCCTACATTCTCAATTTCCGAGTTATTTCCAGCACAGAAATACATAAAAAGAAACGCTTTATTCGAAACATACATTTGAAATGACATAACCAACAGTTTAGGACTTAAAAACTATCCAGATCCCGTGATAAATCGGCCAGCATTTCCATAAACAAATGCGATTTGGCCTCGTCTTCGTGGCTTTCGTTGGAGGTATCCTTCCCCGAAAGCGAGAGTTGCTGGAGGAGATTGGAGAGGGTGCTCCACACATTCGGTGGCCAATTCTCCGCAAAGAGCGGCATGAAGAGTTCGTTTAGTTGATCCGCTTTTATGGCTCCTGATTGCAGCATGGATCTCAGGAGTTTTTCCAGCATTCGAAAGTTGTCCATATTGTGACCCATCTCCTGCACAAAACTTATGCTGAGCAGGCCTTCGTAGATTCCCGGTGAGGCTTCACTGGCCAGGAACTGTGGTGAACGCCACACGGAGCAGCAGGATGAGATTACATGGTCATCAAGGTAACTTGGTTTTCTGTTGATAAGCAGCTGGAGGAGATGCACCAATCCCGAGCCAATTAGGTGATAGAAAACAGTGGGCATTTGGGGAAACAATACAGCCTGTTGGGATTGTTTGAGCAGTTCTCCAAGATCCTCCCGACATCCCACATTTTCGGGCCGCAAACTGAGGCAGTGCAGCCACTGTTGAAGCTGGAAGAGCAACTCCGACAAGCTGAAGCCCAAATCTGGTCTAAGTTGGAGTTCAGTGGAGCCACCGCTGGAAATACCAGCTGCATCCGCCTTGTTTCTGTTGGAGTGGAAAACCTTAATGGCAAGTTCCTGGAGATCCCCATGATAAAATGTGGATTGGAGGACACTAGATTGGAGCCACTGCTGCAGTTGCGACTGAGCTTGAATGCGAATCAAATGCGCATAGGTGGAACGCAGCACCGCATTGGTGCTGGCGGGTAGTAGGGCCTCCAGCGATTGACCTATGCGCCTGTCCAGCATTTGAGGCACTTGCTCCTTCCACCGCTGACAGACCTTCTCCCTGGCCTCCTGGAAGATCTGCTGCAGCTTCTGGTACACCTCCTCCTGCTTTATAGAGCTGATTTCATTCACTCTAGCATCCGCTGACGACTTGGAGGGCAGTAGAATCTCCTGCTGGGCATCCTTCACCACGCACTTGAAACTGCGTTCGGTCACGAATTCAATTAACCGCCTGGTGGAGGCATTTTGCGAGTGCAGGAAGGCATCGGCCAACTTGCGCTGCTGCTGCTCCGAGGGAGTCAACTCACTAGAAGTCTCCTTGGCGGCCACACCACTGCCAGTCTGCTGCAGTTGCTCCAGCCTGGTGGTGATGTACCTAAACCGACCACTCTTCGCCTGACGAGAGGGCGTGATGCTCACGCGGAACTCTTGAAGAAAAGGACAAGCCACGGGGAGAAGTTCCTCTAGTAAAGAACTATTCGATTTCTCCTGGCAACGCAGGCCATTCAGGCAGAGATCCACAACCGATGATGAACTAATCAAAGCCCTATGACTGTAGTAACCATTGACCAACTGCGGCTGTGCATCCAACAGCCAGCCTATGCAACTCCTGGCCATAAACACAGCTCCTGGTTGCAGTTTATCCATATGCAAACCCGCATACAATCCGTAGAGCAGCTCCAAGGTGGCCAGCGAGTCGGGAAGATGCAGGCTGACCAAATCGAGCATCACCAGGTATTGAACCAACCAGGGTAGAGTGATCAGCAGCTTGCCCTGCCGCATAGAGCGTTCCAAGATCTCGCGGAGATTGAAATCCGGATGAAAGTGGCTGCGCAACTGCAGTTGTTGTGGGCAAAGATGTGGAGGCGTTGGATTGCCATGTTGGGTAGTCCCACTGAAAGGCAAAACAGTGACATAGCCCAGAAATTTGGCCAGGATTAGCATGTTGGCCATGGCCTGGACACGAACCAGGTAAGGTCCCTGCTGAGCGGACTGCTCCTCGGTACCCACATCCTCGGCCAGCTGGAGCAGATCAAAGGTGGAGTCGTTGTGACGCACTAACTGCGCAAATAGAGCGAGTTTCAGGTGCACCAAAAAAGCCAGCGACGAACAGCTGGCTATAAAGTCACGGAAAAAGGCCTGCGAACGGGGAAACTGACCCTCCACACTGGAATTCGAGGTCACCAGTCGCTGGGCGAGTTTATTGTGCCTCAGAGGATCCAGTTTTAAGCCCAGTTCTTCAGGAGATTCGGTGGTTTCAGTGGCGGAGATTAGCAGTTGACTGACAAACAACTTGGCAAAGTGAGCCATATTCACCGGATGCTCCGATACCTTGAAGATTTCCCTAATCCGAGGAGTCAACTCGCTGGCAAAGTTGAAAATGCGATTCAGGTGGCTCACCTCCCACTGCTTGAGGGTTTTATAGAACAAATCTCGCTGGGTTTTAAAGGCCCCGAACTCATTTTGCGTGGGAAAGTTGTCCCGCGAATCCTTTTCCACATGATAGTAGACATTCTGTTGAGCCGATGAGGAGGAGGTGTCCAGGGAAAAGGGTGTGGACAGCTCCTGTCTCTGTTGGCAGCTCATTTCCAGTTGTTGCACCATCGCCGCTGGCAGCAGGCTCAATCTCTCGTTCTGCAGGAGAACTCCTAGGGTTCTCTTATCCAATTGTAGCAGTAGCTTTTCCTGATTTTCTAGCATTTTCAAGGCAAAAAAGACACAACTTTTGTACTGGGTGAGTCGCTCCAAGGCAGCGGGAGCTTCAGATTCTGCAGAGGATTGCCCAAAGTCTCTTATGTTGACCAACTGCATCACAAAGCTCAGTTCACTGAGGACATTGGGCACTAGATTCAAGTCCATTAGCAGGCTATAAATGCTGGCCAGCAACTGCAACTGGTGGGTATCGCTCACATCCTCCAGATTGAAGGTTTCCCCGGGGAATATCTCATCGTCGGGGGTTCTCTCCTGCTGACTGATTGGAGCCTCACTTTTGATCTCCTGCTTGTTGAGCAGCAGCGATTTGCGTGCCTCCATTTCGAGGGCGGCTCCCTGACTTCTATCGAAGATCTCGCTGCTCTGCGAGATGCGCCAGAGATTGTTGTCGTTGCTAAAGGAACTGGTGTCGCCAAAGGAGGAGGAGCTGGCCGAGACATTCTTGCTGATGGTCATGGGTAGAACTCTTCGCCTGGGTTTGGATTGGGGTGTGGTTACGGCTCCTTGCTGATTCTGCTGTGGCGTGGTCTTCTTCTTGGAACGCTGCTGGCTTTGGTTGGGCGTGGTGACCAGAAAGTCGCCCAGGCAGAAGCTATGACCTCCTCCGGGAGGAGCTGCTCCTCCTCCACTTCTATTGGGCGTGCTGCAAAACTGACCGCCACTTCCTGGCGTGGATCTGCGACCCTGCGGCTGCTGGCGAGCTGGAGTTGCGGAGTTTCCGCTCCTGTTGAGGATCAGAGATTCATTAAACTGTAGCTGCTCCTCCAGATCCTTCACCACATCGTCGGTTGGTGGTGCTTTGGGCTGTCGAATGGGTGTCAAAGATTGAACAGGAGTCTCCGAGCTGCGAGAGTAGAAATAAGGCTTGGTGGTCTGACGCAGTGCAGCCAAAAAGTAGGCGGCAAAGTCCTCCAGGCTGCAGGTGTCCTTGCCGCCCTTGCTTTTGAAGTGCCCCACGAATTTCTGCTGCAGCTGGGGGCGTGGCACCTTCTCCAATTGCAGAAGCAACTGCTGCAGATGCTTCTCTTCCGGCTTAGTCATTTTTTAGGGTGAGTATCTCTTAGGGGAGTCCCTCTGTGGGCATGATCTTTCTATTTTTGACCTTTCGCCCTCCTCCTCCTCTCTTCTCTTCTCCTTTCTTTCTTGTTTCCCTGCAACGGAAGAGGAGAGAGAAGGGAAATGTGTGTTGGCTCGGCTTTTCTGGGTTTTTCGTTTTCTAATTTATTTTTATATTTTTGAGATTTGTTTGGATTTTGGGTTTGAATTTGGGTTGAAGTTGCAGGATTTTTATTTTTTCTTCTTCTTTTTTTTGTATTGACATCACTTTTTTCACACACACTAAACTAAAACAAAGCGAGATGCACGAAAGACATTACGAGTTATCAAATTTAGGCGGCGATGACATCATCACCTGTACTAAAAGCTATAAGAAGTGAAATATTGGTTAGGATAGAAGGGTTAAAGTTAAGGGGTTACAGGTCCATTTTTGGGGAAATTTATAAGATTACTAAAAAAATTTCACAGATAGTGTGGGCTAATTTATCTAAACATTGAGAAGAGGAAAATAAACATAATATTTATTTATTTTTAGACACAAACAAATTAGTATTTGTTTATATTTAGCAAAGCCCAAAAATCCTATTTATGTTTTTCTATGACCAGTTATTACTGTACTGCATACCAGCTACCAATAGAGCAATTAAGATAAGGAAATCTAAGATATGTCTGGAATGTGCCAAAAGATTACTAAAATTATGAAATTTCAAATATCTTTAGATGAAATAATTGCTATTTACAAGTAGTGATTAAGCATTTACTACTGTACTTTCAAATAATTTAAACCAATTTAGCAATTTCGATTTGAAATGCCCGGAATTTAGCAATTAAATTATTTAAAAATTTTAAAATTCCAAGATTTTAAGATCTTAAGATGAAATATTAAGTACAAGTTAAGGGAGACCTCCCTATAGAAGGGGTCAAAACAGTGACATCATTTCGGGGAGAGGGTGGGGTCAAACATGCAGACAAACAAACAAATAACACACATTGCCGCAGGAAATTGAAATAAATCAGAGGGAGATAGCAACAATCCAGGGCTTGGCAGCCATACAAAAATTTGTTTCACAAACACACACACACTTACACATGGGCAGGCAATTTAACTGTTTATCGCGGTGGCGAATAAAAACAACAACAGTAAACACAAGTGCGAGAGAACCCACCTTAATGAAAAGAGAGCGAAAGAAAACACATACACCACTCACGAATGAGGGAAAGAGGGAGAGAGAGAGAGCGAGAGAGCGAAACATTAATTGAAGTGTCTATCAGAAAATAGCCGAGGATGACGTAATGCGTACGGTTTGGAATTATGAGCAATCATTGAAGAGGCCCCAAAATCAACTAGTACGCAAAGTGCACATATAAACCCCAAAGATTGACAGAATTACAAACATACAAAAACATGCTATGCCAAAGTCAAGGACATTTCCCCCACCCAAAAAACAGGTTTTGGCAAATGTAAGGCAAACAATTTACTATTTTTTTTACTCGTACTTAAACTCTCTCGCAAACACAAACGAGCCAAGAGAGAGCGTGGGAGAAAGCTCTCTCGCGCTTTCTCTCTGCTGAAGTTGCCGCACCACCGACACCACCCACCCCACCCCCCGATGACGTACACACACACACACCGACTTCTGTACTCCTGCGTAACTCACACACACACATGCACAACTGGAGTACCAGATACTTTTTCTTCAATTGCAATTAGAATCCCGAATTTGAAAAAGAATATCAAAATTTTGATGCCTAATTAAGCACTGGCATTGGACCTCTCGACTTTCAGTTATGGCCAAGACTTTTCTCTCACTTTTAGCCTGTTTAATTGGATTTTTGTGTCGCCTTCGAGGGTGTGGCGTTGACCCGAAAAATTTTCACTTTACACGCAAACCGAATTTCAATTGCAATTTGAACCCAACTAACGGTAAGCTACGTGCGAAAATCATAGAACAACTTACACTTTGATGGAAAACGTATCCGTTTACAGTTAATTTCTTAATTAAACTATTGATTTTCAGTAGTTATTCGCAATTTACACGGAGCGCCTCAATATTCACGGACCGCACGCAGAATTTTTTTTTTCAATATGTCGGCCGATTAGTGATGTGAGAAGTCATCAAAGCATCGATAGTTTTGTAAATATCGGTTGCCTGAAAATGTTAAGGTGGTGTTAATAACATTAGGGGTCGTTTTTTCGTCCGCATGTTAAATTTAAAGTGGACTTTAAATATTTTTAAAAATATTTATTTTTATTTAAGTAAAGAAAAATCATAACTTCATTTTGAGTTCTTACATTAGATAACTTATTGGTGTTTGGCTTGATCCATTTGTAATTTTTGGAATGTTGCCTACGCTACAAGTTCAGGCCATTCGGGATCCATATATGTATGCCTGAGTTATTATAACTAGTAGACAAGACAGGCAACATCGGGTGCACCTCCAGGTGTCCCAAATAACTGGCCTCCGGGCCAGCATTACCGCAGATGACTTCCTCCGTATTTTTGTCCCAGAAAAATATATTCGTTGAATTGCGGCCGACAATGTACTGCGAACGGGGTCCGAAGAAATGTACTCGGTCTCTAAAGATGAAAAGCAAAGTGTTACAAGTGAGTGGATGGTTGGCGATGTACGACTTACAAATCCTCATAATAGCAGTGCAGAAAACCGTCTTCCCTGCAGTTTCGACTGTCGAGAAGAAAGTTTTTCCCATCGTTGAAGGAAGCCAAAATCTCACTGCCGTTGTGGTTGTAAACGACGCTGTGGACAGTCGGACAGTCACAAGAATTATTCGGGGTCATTTTGTAAATAGGCTTTGTGAGCTGGCGCCTGTCATAAACGCGCACCACATTATCGTTTGCGCCGACACAAAATTCCGGGGCAATCGGATGATGGGCTATGCTGCGCAAAGCTGTATCATTTTCGTCCTTACGGACGTGGAAAATTGTTTCTTTCGTACTGGGGGTGCGGAGATCGAATATCCTAATGGTTCCATCTTGACAAGCGCTCATAATCTCGTCACGATTTTGCGGCACTATCACAATCTGATGTATGCAGTTCTCTTGAAGGTCGCTATGGCTGAAGAGGCACTCGGATTTGGGTGCTCCTCCGGAGGGTGGGATGAGCGACCGAATAACCAGGCCCTCGTAGGTCCAACACACGATGTCCAGACAACCGTGGCTGCTTATAAACTTGGCCTTATAGATGTAGTTCTTGGGGTCAGGACGAAATTTGTGTAGCACCTTATTATTCGCCCAATCCCAGATGACGATTTTAGACTGTGTGCTGGAGATAATCAAGTTGCCTTCCCGGTTGAAGTTAAGGCTGAAGGCGGAACCGTGCTTCAGTGTCTTCAGTAGGGTTAAATGTTCCACAGCCTGGCGGGATCCGGCAAATCCCTGGCCAAAGCTCTGGTCAGAGGTGTGGCCACCACGCCATCCAATGCGATTAATGATGTTGTGCTCCCGATGCATCAGCTCCCTATCGCAGTTCCAAGTGTACACTGGCTTGGATTCGCCTACAATCCTCTGAAATTGCTTGCTCTCCTTGTCATCAGACCGCTGAAACTAGTAGGGTAGTAGATAGAAATCAATAATTTAATCAGTTTTGCTTAAAAAATATAATACTCACCGACCGATCGCGATCGATGTCGTTATTAGAGGGATTTTCCTAAAGGGGCAGAAAATTATATTGTAATACATTGGCAATTTTGTAATAAATACGTATGCAGAACTACCTCCGTGCTAAATGAATAATGTTCATCCCAATCCGAGGATTCTAAGGAACTTCTGTCGTCCTGTATGTTGGAAGTGGATGATGACTCACTGGTCAAAACTTCTTCGTCGACGTTCATCGCGGTCAAAATTCACGGTCAGTTCTTCTGAGAAATTTAAAACGGACAACAATTACTGAAGTGCACGCTTGGACATGTTGGCGCCTAATATCGATATAGCCGATGATATCGAAGTTTAGCGACGCATGGCTTTCTAGAAGTTGCCATTTCACACATTACAAGAGCAACAACACAGAATCCACAAAATATTCGAGACTTTTAAGCGCTGTTTTATTCTAAACCGAGTACACGAATTATATTTTAATTTTAAGCAAAAGTAATAACATACCACAAGTCGCGCCTCAAGTCTCTCCGATCGTCAATAGAGCTGGAACTAAAACCGATTTCTATCGATTGTTACCCATTGCTGGGTAATAAACTTATAAACTTATTAAATAAACTTGATCTGCGTTGGTTATATGAAAACTGAAGAAAAGTTTTTACAATAACCTTTTTTATGACATTAATTATAAAATATCCACTAAAATATCCACTGAATACACACCTCAATTTTAAAATGTTTCTAGTTTTAATTGAAAATGAAAAAAAAGTCCTTTGAGAATAGATTTGTTTAATAATTAAAATTTTGAAAATAATTTTTTGTATGTAGTACATACTTATCCGCTACCGATATTGCAAAAATTTTCAACACTGTAACGAGTTATCGATACTATCGTGAGTGGCTAGCCCAGCACTAATTTCCAGAGCAATCCAAAAAAAAAAAAGGAAGCAGCGGAAAAAGAACAAAAACCTGCAGCATTTACACTTAAAGGAAGTCCGAAGCGAACAAACAGCAAAATGGTGGACTACAGCAAGTGGAAGAACATCGAGGTGGGTGCCCATTTAATCGAGTGCCCACTGAATGCGAGTCCCAATCCCCACACTGCACATTTGAATTTCAGATTTCGGACGACGAGGACGACACCCATCCGAACATCGACACGCCTTCCCTGTTCCGCTGGCGGCACCAGGCGCGCGTGGAGCGCATGGCGGAGCTCGACCAGGAGAAGGACGAGTTCAAGAAGAAGCGCCAGAGCTTCCAGGCGCGCCTCATCGACGTCAAGGAGCGCATCTCGAAGAAGGACGGCGACGAGGCGGCTCTGAAGGTGGGTCATCACTTGTTGCATGGGATTAACCGTTTCTTGAGAGGATCGGAGATGTAATGATAGGTCAAAGGGGTCATTTATGTATCCCCAAAGGGTTACCTTACTTCTGAATTTATTCTAATCATATAGTATCCAGAATTTTCTACCAAAAAAGAGTCATTTAATCTGAAATTGATTGAAAATTCTTTGTAATTCAGTTTGTGATAATCTTTTCAAGAAGAATAATATTCTCTATAGGAAAAAATCTCCTAAGCTTTGTATATTTTTCGCTAAGTAGTTTAAAAAAGCCCTTAAATTATGTATAGAAATATAAAATTCAAAAATTCATAGTTATAACTTCCCATTATGATAATTTTTTGATATTATCCAGCATTTTCTCCCAAAAAAAGAGTCATTTAATCAGAAATTGAATGAAACTTCTTTGTACTTTAGTTTGTGATAATCTTTTCAAGAAGAATACTCTTCTCTATAGAAAGAAGTTTCCTAAGCTTTACATATTTTTTATTATAGGTCAACCAATTTTCTATTATAACCATATATGTTTTTTAAAAGCCCTTAAATCTAGAAATATAAAATTCAAAAAATTTATAGTAATAACTTCCCATTATGATAACCCATAGTCCTATTTTAGTACACCACATAATTTAATGTGCAAATTCCCATTCCCCACCCACAGAAAGAGCTCGAGAAGATCGAGTCCGAGGGCAAGGAGCTGGATCGCATCGAGAGCGAGATGCTGAAGAAGGAGAAGAAGACGCCCTGGAACGTGGACACCATCAGCAAGCCCGGATTCGAGAAGACGGTGATCAACAAGAAGGCCGGTCGCAAGCCGGACGAGAATCTGTCCGAGGAGGAGCGCGAGCAGCGCATGAAGCAGTTCGTCAAGGATAACGAGAAGCTGTGCAAGCAATACGGCATGCTGCGCAAGTACGACGACTCCAAGCGATTCCTGCAGGAGCACCTGCAGCTGGTGGGCGAGGAGACGGCCAACTATCTGGTGATCTGGTCCATCAACCTCGAAATGGAGGACAAGCACGAGCTGATGGCCCACGTGGCGCATCAGTGCATCTGCATGCAGTACATCCTGGAGCTTGCCAAGCAGCTGGACGTCGATCCGCGCGCCTGCGTCAACTCCTTCTTCTCGAAGATCCAGCACTGTCAGCCCGAGTACAAGGCGCAGTTCGAGAGCGAAATCGAGGGCTTCAAGGGGCGCATTCAGAAGCGGGCGCAGGAGAAGATCCAGGAGGCGATAGCCCAGGCCGAGGAGGAGGAGCGCAAGGAGCGCCTCGGTCCCGGTGGCCTGGACCCAGCCGATGTCTTTGAATCCCTGCCAGATGTAAGCATTGAGTGGTTTTCTCTTAGGTGAGAACTAAACCCCTTCTTTTTTGCAGGAACTGAAGGCCTGTTTCGAGTCGCGCGACGTGGAGCTGCTGCAGAAGACCATCGCCGCCATGCCCGTGGACGTGGCCAAGCTGCACATGAAGCGCTGCGTGGATTCCGGTCTCTGGGTGCCCAATGCCGCCGACTTGGAGGGCAAAAAGGATGAGGAGGAGGAGGATGAGGACTCCGAGGACGCCGCCGGTGGCAAGGAGAAGACCGACGATGCCAAGTCGGAGAGTGCGGCCAAGGAGGAGCCCATCTACACTGGCGTCAGCACCGAGGACGTTGACTGATAGCCATGATAGCCACGTTTCCATCTACACACCATAGCTCTAATCTTAATGTACTGTCCACATGCAAACTACTTCATCCATTTATCCAGATCCCCGCGTCAGTTGAGTTTTTGTATATAATTTGAATAAAAGTCAGCTAAATTCTCAGTAACTTTTGAAGACGCCTTCTGTGCTGCCAGTTGTTTATATCAGGGTTTGAAAATGCTTTGAATGCTTCCTATGTTTTGCTTTTACTGTGCTAAATCAACGATAGCAAATCTATAGCAGCTTGTTACAATTGACAGCAATAAATCGCGCTTGATATAAAAATGTAAGTAAACATTTTTCATGTTTAAATTTATGGATTTATTCAGGGACCGTAAATATTATTAAAAAAAGTACCAGTACCTGTTTATATTTTTTTAAATATCAAACAAACCATTAAAAATAAAAATCTTGTATAACCGTGAATTCTTAGGAACCATTTGCTGTGCTTGGTTTAAAATTTATATCGATTATTCAATGAATGCGAATTCTTTAGGGTTAACTTCTTTAGATTGAATATATCTTAGGATAAACTATTTTGGCCTTTCATATTTTTGATTTCTATAGAAGCTAATCCTCTTGCTCTGAGGAATTCGCGGTTATTGAGGAACCGATTAATATATCAAACAAACCATAAAAAATAAAAATCTTGAATAACCGCGAATTCTTAGGAACCATTTTCTGTGCTTGGTTTAAAATTAATATCGATTATTCAATGAATGCGGATTCTTTAGAAGATGAGAGTTAACTTCTTTAGATTGAATAGATCTTATGATAAAATGGTTAGACTATTTTGGCATTTCATATTTTTGCTTTTGCTTCTCAACTCACAGTTTTTGAAAGCCTGGCTTATATACATAGTTTTTTCCGCCAGTGGAAACAATGAATCGACCGGAACTGGACTACTATGCGGTGCTCGACCAGCCGAGGAGCGCCACCAAGGAGCAGCTAACGCTGGCCTATCGCCGCCTGGCCATCCGCCTGTGCCCGCATCGCGACAAGAAGGACGAGCAGGACTTTGTGCCGCTGGCCCAGGACGGTCGGCTCACGCACCTCTCGCCGATGGGCGAACCCCGCCAGTGGGCCTACATCAACATGGCCTTCGATGTGCTGGGCAACGATCTCTACCGCGCCATCTACGATCGGTTTGGCGAGGCGGGTCTCTTCGAGGGCGTGATGCTGCCGAATGGCTATTTTCCGCCCTATCAATACGACGGGGATCACATGAAGGTCTACGAGCGGGTCTTTGGCAGCTACTCACCCTATGCCAATGTGATCGATGCCATTGCCAATCCGCCCAGCTTGTATGCCACCCGACAGCATGGAATAGGTGTCCGCTTGAAGGATTCCAGCACGGAGCGAATCATCGAGCTTTCGCTGGAGGAGGTGCGCACGGGCTGTGTGAAGCTGATGAACGTGTGGCGCCAGGAGATCGTGGACGCCAAGGAGTCGCGGCTGGAGAAGCGCAAGCACACCTTAAAGCTGAACATTGCGCCGGGAACCACGGCGGGAACCAGGTTCTGTTTCAAGGAGGAGGGCGATCGCTATCCGGCCACCATTCCGGGTGACATAATCTTCATAGCCGCGGATAAGCCACATCCGAATTTCGAGCGGAGGAACCACCACGATCTGGTCTACAGGCACTGCATTGACCTTTGCCAGGCCTTCACCGGCTTCACCTTCTTCATCACCACTCTAGACAGACGCCAGTTGAAGGTGGTCATCACGGACGTGGTGCAGCCGGGATATACGAAGGTGATTCCCCTGGAGGGTCTGCCCAAGTGCCGCAACCTGGACGCAGTTACGGCTATCAAGGAGGCCAACAAGAAGGTGGAGCAGTTCGGGGATCTCATCATAGAGTTTAATTGTGGGTGGTCCTTATTTTTGGGGTTCTTTTATTGATGGTTTCCCTATATTTTCTGTAGATATTTTTCCCAAGTATTTGACGCCACACATGAAGCAAATGACTCGCGAATTTTTCCGTGAATTCCGCAAGCTGGAAATTGAGCTTGAGGAGGAGGAGGAGCGCAACATGGTTTAACGGGAGTCTCTTTATTGTTATTCCTTAAAACACTTGAAATTCTGCGTACTGCTGAAATAAATTTTGCGTTTGATTCTGAAATATTAATACTATTTGGAACCCCTTATTTACTGGAAACTTCGTATCGTTTGAGATGAGATTTTTATTTAACAGTACTTTAAAATTGGTGATTCAAAACAACCTTAACGGTCAAATTTGAATTTACGCATAACAAGTTGACAGCTTTGTCAAACATATCGATTATCGTCAGTGTTGGGTAGTGCGTTGATAAGCACCTACTTTTATAATTTCCTTTAATTAGGTACAATAGATAACTAAGGATACATACATAAATCGTTAATTTGTAAAAATTATTTATTATTGTATATTTAGAAAATAAAAAAATCATTAACATCTATACAAAAAGGTGAGAAAAAACTTTGTTCTCCTCTATGTGCCATCCTTTCTTCCTTGTATTTTCTATTTTCTTCTTCAAATTTTTCCATCTCTTCCTTCTCCCTTTCTTTCTTTATCTCATCAATTTCATCCATGATATTTTGAAATTTCTGTGACTTACATCTTCCGCCGTTTTCCTCGTAATCTATCAGACAGCACAGGAAGAACGTGTCCATGGCCGTTTCATAGACAACGAATACCCCTTTCGTCAAGATATGGCCGAAAATGACTACCACTATGGTGGGTAACACATTGTGTTCCATTGAAAGTAAGGGCAGGACGAAATAGGTGACCGTTCCTGCAATTGTGATTAGCAGCATTCGCGCGTAAAGCAGGAAACTGTGACCCATTTCTTGAACAAAAAACCGAAGAGATGCGTTTTTGTTTGTTAATTTTTTCGAACGATTGCCGCTGTATTCCAAATCCCAGCTCTGAACGGCACACATGATGTAGGCATTGTAATATGGCGTTCCTAGATAAAACTTTGAAAGCCAGGAAAAAAAAGGCCCAAGGAGCGATGGTGAGATAAAAATAAGAGTTCTGATTATACTTTTGAACATGTTACCGAACGAACCCTTCGCCACGCTTCCAATATGTTTGTGAATCTCCGAGAATTTCGAATCCCAGTAAACCTTTACGAACCTGGAGGCTAGTATCATGTAGCGTAAGTCGTATATCAAGGAGTCTAAATACATGAATATGAATGCGCTGTAGAAGAGGGCAAAATTTGTCCACCATGATCTGTGGATCTCTTTAAAGTTGCAGGTGCCCACCGAAATATTAAAAGTCTTTGGGTCGCAGGAATTACCCGATTCGTCTTTAAATAAAGCTTCATCGGTGCTGACCAGAAGCAAGCAAATAGCTATAGTAAAAGCTAGGGAAATTATGAAGAGTACAAAGTTGAAGAGCGGGAAGACGAAAGTGTTGAGGTTTTCGGTCGTCGCCTTACTGGCCTCCTTAAGGAGAACAGATACAAAGCATATGCTTGAAAACTGATTGGCTAGCTCACTTAGGAAAAACACGAAGGACATGAAAAGGATCACAGATATAGAGATCCATAGCGTTCTTTCATACAGCTGGAAGCCGAAAATGGTGATATACTCGTCTCCCGCATAGTAGGTCCGACAAATGGACCAACCGAAGGTGAATCCTAGGACTGCGATCACTATTAGGAAGGACCCCTGCAACCAGAAACGAGGGTTCCATCTCATAAGGACAACCGAAATCAGTGAGGCGAACAGAATGCCAATGCAGACCAAGAGGATGGAAATCCAGGAGTTTTTCAGATCTTCGATTAGTTCCTTATCAGTTGAATACATGACATTCCGAGTCGCATTTCTCATCAGATTGTTTAAGATCGGCAAAGTCTCCACGAACGGATTCTTGAAGACAGTATCGTTCAGTTGGCGGCGGCACTCCTTCGATGAATTAGTTTTATCATTTTCTGGAGCTCTTTTAGAGGTCGAGCCCATGATCCCGCTTTTGACCTTCTCGCGGATGTTGTCGCTTGGGAGGTAATCACAAATGTTCTTCGAAATGTCGGAAATGCATCGGTTGAAATATGAAGTGCTTTTGCTGTACCAGCGAGCACAATCTTTGCGTTTAATGGCCTTCTCCATGTCCTCTTTTGTGCGCACTTGGGCCTTGATCTTGTCCGTCAGGCAGATGAGACGACTGTACAGGTCCTTGAAGCTGAGTTCGTCCTTCATCGTGTCCCAAACGAACGGTTCTTTGGGACAGGACTCCAAGCACACCTGTTGAAATGCAAGTGATATATTATATATCTTAAAAATTGTCTATAGTAATGGGTATCTGATAGTTGAGGCAATTGCGTATTATTTTGTATTAATTATTTTTATTTATTCATTTATTTTATTAGTAAATACTAAACTATTTGATAGGTATGACTAGTAAAATATATTTGTTTACCTGTGGGGTTTCGCACGTCGACAAGGGATTTAACAGTGGATTCTGGCACTTATCCATGTCGAAATAGAACAATTTTGATTTGTTCACTTCGGTACCAGTGCCGCACACTTGCCCTAAAGAGTCCTTGGGTTTATAACTTCCATATGGTAATTTGGGACCGATGACCAAAATCCACAGGACGACTAAGGACAAGAGCATATACCACCAATTCTTGTCCGTGTGCCTGTCAAATCTGTGAGGCGGTGTCGCCTGGTTGAGCGGCTCCCTTTCTTCCTCTGACATCTCCGTTCACTGAAAAAGTCAGTCTTTTTTTAAGCATTTTCTAAACATAAATCGGTGAATTTTTAAGATTTTATATTATTGCAGATTTAGAAAATATAAAAATTTTCATTTATACAAAAAAGTAAGATTGATATTGTTCTAAATATTTCTTTATAGAAAAATAACGACCATTAAATTCAGAAGAAGTGTTTCACTTATTATTTTAAATTTAGAAAATAAAAACATTTACAGTTATAAAAAAATAAGATTGCTAATGTTCTATATATTTTTTTATAGCAAAATAACGACAATTAAATTCAGAAGAAGTGTTTCACATATTTTAAATCTTAATAATCAAATCATAAAAATATGATCGAATTTTTAACTTATTATTTTTTGTGTAACTCACCTTTTTTGGCGCTCTCAAGGTAAATAATTCAACACTGATCCTAAAAATTTCTTGAACCAAATCCGCTTCTTTGATATGCGAGTAGCTACATATAAATCAGTAACTTAATGTGTTAAGATGTTCAATCCCAAGAGAATGAAATCCACATTTGCTAAGTTGATGTTTCAAACTGATTTTTATTTTGTAAAACGCTAGCTTATATATCTTAGAGTGGAGTACAATGTGTCGAGGAAAGGGATTTGAATATAGGGGCTCATTAGAATACTCAAAAATAGGCGTACTTAGAAATACTTTTGGAACATATGATAACACTTGAACTCAACTCACAATGCCAGGCAATACAATATTATAAACATACCATGCTCATGTGTTAGCATTCTGCAGGGGCCAGGACGAATTATGGCCTGCACTCGTCTTGTTACATTTATTCGTCCTACTATACATATATACAATAAAAATTAATATAATTATTAATCCTACGGTTAATGTCGCATGACATGTGATAAAAATGTAGTTATTTTTATTCAAAGAGAATGGAGCTCGCTTATATCTTTTCTAATCTGAGTCTTACAAAGTTTATTAATTTTTTTTAAATCTTTAATCTGTCGTTCAGTATTGTCCAGAACAGTATCACATTGACCTTCAAACCCATGAAGCTTATCAAGTCAAACTAGATCCCAAGATGACTTCGACAGATCTTAGTAAAGGGAATTAGTCTCATGTAATTTCTTGATTGACCATTTTTGTTGTCCTTGTGTGGGTAAACTTGCATTAGACACCTGGCAAAATAACATTAGCATAGATTCTAGGGCTACTGCGAGTGCCCTTAGTCTTCTTTGCAGAGATAGGTAATTCGCTCTCTTCAGCCTCAATTTCAGTTGGAGGACAAACTTTTTTAAAAGGTCTTATAATTGAGCCATCTTGTACTTTACTACCATCTTTACACTTACTACTCTGACTCGGTCTTCTTTTCCCTTATGACTTTCTTCTACTTTTCACAAGGGCCATCTAGCGGGATGACAATTTATATAAGTAAGACAATTTAGCCTTTATTAAGGTTTGGCTTACGTAATTTCCATTTATTTTAAGAATTGAAGGGTGTTTAAATCATTTTTTGTATACATGTACCTTTGATACATTGTAAAAATAACGGTTAATTTAAATTAAAATCAATTGCTCAAAGAAAAATATAAAAATAGAATTTTAATCATTAAAAAGTAATTTTTATTATTTAACTTATAATGATTACGGTCCCTGATTTTTAAACTTTCCTATATTTGTTACCTTGTACCTTGCCTAGGTACAATTTGGTCGTACCTTTCCCAACACTGATTGCCTATCGATTTATCGGCTATCGCTCGGCAACCCTGGCCATCAGCTGTTGGAGAAAAGAAAATGCATTTGGCATTCCATTCCATTTCAGACCAGAGTTAATTAAAAATCAATTGCAGCAGCAGCACGCGAAGTGGCCAGCGAAAAGAGTGCAGGAACACCTGGTGGCATCGGCATCGGCATCCGCAGGGCGCAGTAACTGATCCGCAGCTGCTCCACATCGAGTGCAAATCCGATTACCCAAAGACAAAGTGTGCCAACGCCACACGACCAACGAGAACAACGCCCCCACCCAGAAAAACTCTATAGAAACCAGCCAGCGGAAGTGGAATCCACGCTCCACTGGTCACTACACACACGATGCACCTCAGCGCGGACATTTCCAGCGCCCTGCAGCAGATCGAGGCTGTGAAGAAGGGCATCGATGAGTCCGACGATCCCAAGCTGCAGATGCAGACGGCGGAGAGCCTGAGCACCATTCTGGGCATCCTGCAGGATCCCGTCTTCCGCACCATCGTCCATGTGCAGGACTCGCTCTCCGAGCTGAATGCCCAGCTCGCCCAGCATCCGTCCATGTTGCCCAATGACTTTGACATCGATGTGGCCGGCAATCTGGTGCTCAGTTTAAATGGCGGTGAGGTCATGTACGACTTTGAGGATCAGCGCTCCTCCTCGCACTCCCATTCGGCGCCCGGAAGTCCGGATAAGGGGGGAGAGGAGCCGCGTCCGCAGAGCCAGAACTCCAAGGGCGCCGGCGCAGCGGATCTGTATGCCACGGACTACGCGCAGATTCAGGCCATTGAGCTGGTCAACGATGGAACGGGTCTGGGATTCGGCATCATTGGAGCCCGCAACTCGGGAGTGATTGTCAAGACCATATTGCCAGGTGGAGTGGCCGACAGGGATGGTCGCCTGCGCTCGGGGGATCACATCCTGCAGATAGGCGATGTAAATCTGCATGAAATGGTCTCCGAACAGGTGGCTGCCGTTTTGAGGCAATCTGGAACCCATGTCCGCCTGGTGGTCGCCCGTCCCGTTGAGCAGAACGTGCCCACGCCTCAGTACGCCCTGGAACCTGGCACTGCCGTGGTGCCCACCCGCGTCCTCGTCGATCCCGCCGAGCTGGAGCGTTACCTCATCTCCACCGGCTATCCGGAGATCTTTGGCGAGAGCTCCACGGCCTCCACGCCGCAGACGACCACGGAGGATGATCGCTTCGTGTATCGCGGCGAGACCTCCATGCTCATAGACCCCAACATCGATCTGGAGGAGCTGCTGGCCCTGCCGGAGACGGAGAAGCTGCAGGTCGAGCTGAAGAAGGATGCCAACGGCCTGGGCATCACCATTGCCGGCTACGTTTGCGAGAAGGAGGAGTTGTCGGGGATTTTCGTGAAGAGCGTCTCGCCGGGATCGGCGGCAGACCTCAGTGGACGCATCCGGGTCAACGATCGCATCATCGAGGTGGACGGCCAGTCGCTGCAGGGCTACTCGAATCACCAGGCCGTCGAGCTGCTGAAGAAATCCGGTCAGGTGGTGAATCTCCGCCTGGAACGCTACTTGCGTGGCCCCAAGTTCGAGCAACTGCAGCAGGCAATCGCGGCCAATGACAAGCTTCCGTCCAGTGCTCCTGGAACGCCTTCGAGGGCGCCCCTGCCCACGCCAGTGGCCACCACATCCTCGGCCACCACCACACCATCACGCAGTATCACCAGGGAGTTGGAGGAGGAGGCTGTGCCGGCGCCAGAGGCATTTATGACCACTCCCCCGTCGGTCACCACCATGACCACCACCACTTTGAGCTCCTTTGGAGCGGGTAAGCAACTGGTGGCCGTAAGGGATTCACTGGATGGCTCCACGAAGATCATACCCACCGAGGTTGTGCCTTTGGCGGAGAAAACAGAGGTGAGTAATTGTTAAAAACATGTAAAATTTTATTTTACAGTGTGAGCAAAATTGTTGACATGTGTGCCAAATGAAAAATAATTGTTTACACACACAGCTCACTTGTGTTATTTACACAATGTGTTATTAACACGACGTGTTTTTTACACACTGTCTTTTTATCACAAATGATTGCACTGATATTAACGAGTCGAACGGAAAATGAAAAACCAATATGGGCAATGATATCTTATATGTTAGTTTTACCCATTTCAAAGCATATATGAATTCTTATACTCTAGAAAACAGTACATTTTTCTGACACTTTAATGACTCATTGTGTTAAGAACACGCTGTGTAAAAAACACGTCGTGTAATTAACACAAATGACATGTGTGTGTTTTTTGATTCTAACATACAATGTAGAATAAAATTTTTTACGCACAAGTCAATAACTTTTTTTGAACTTAACACTTTGATATTTAACATGATAAGTTTTTTACAGTGTGTGTTTTTTTCCAACCTATGCTAGTGAGTCATTACCCAGTCATTCTAATTAAAATTTCTCCTCCTACAGGCCAAAAACAGCGGTGTGATCACGCGTCACAAGTACTACACCGATCCGGAGCTCTCGGATGACGCGGAAAGCGAGATCATCCGCAAGTGGCAGAAGATTGTGGGCTCCGATGTGGAGGTCATAGTGGCCCAGATCAAGAAGTTCGCCGTGGGCGGTTTGGGCATCTCCTTGGAGGGAACCGTGGACGTCGAGGGAGGACGCGAGGTGCGACCCCATCACTACATTCGTTCCATCCTGCCCGATGGACCTGTGGGTGTGAATGGTGTCCTCCGCTCGGGAGATGAGCTTTTAGAAGTTAATGGCGAGCGTTTGCTGGGCATGAATCACCTGGAGGTGGTGGCCATACTCAAGGAACTGCCGCTGGACGTGCGCATGGTGTGCGGTCGCAACCGGAACACCTCGCTGCTGCCCTTCTCCGATGACACGTTGAAAAAGCTGAGCAACAACTTTGAGAACCTGCTGCCGGCCACCGATCGCCTGGTGAAGGCCAAATCGGATGGCAGCCTGGCCACCGCGGGCTCCGTGGCCGATGGCGATTCGGTGGCTGCTGCCGCCGCCTCCTTTAGCAAGCTCAAGTCGCGTTCACTGGAGCCGCTCACGGGATTGGCCATGTGGTCATCGCAGCCGCAAATCATCGAACTGGTCAAGGGCGATCGTGGACTGGGCTTCTCCATACTGGACTATCAGGATCCGCTGGATCCCAACGATACGCTGATTGTAATTCGTTCCCTGGTGCCCGGTGGAGTGGCCCAATTAGATGGACGCCTCATTCCCGGCGATCGTCTGCTGTTTGTGAACTCCATCAACCTGGAGAACGCCTCGCTGGACCAGGCGGTGCAGGCCTTGAAGGGCGCCTCCAAGGGAGTGGTGCGCATTGGCGTGGCCAAACCGCTGCCCATGACGGACAACTCGCTGAAGGCCTGCAGCAATGCCAGCACCACCAGCGAGGAGACCCTGGATGCCCAGCCATCGCCGCCAGCGCTGCCCACAGCTGCTCCGCCCGCAATGCCGCTGGGAGCCGAGCCGGATTTGATTCCCGACTGGCGGAATTAGGAAGTAATCGAGGAAGAAACATTCCAGGCAGCTGAATCTTTAAAACTAGAGTTACACAACCGATTGTTATTACCGAATCAAAATGTTATGCATATTATTAGCACCGAATTGTGTTTGTCCCCCTCAACGAAACGAGCATTCCACACCAGCATGCAATATCTAAAACAAACCACTAGTATTAGCAAATGAATTTTAACATGTATGATGTATGTACTTAAACTAAATTAAATAATGTACCTTCCGTACGGTCAATGAGTATCACTAGGGGAATGGATTTCCTAGGAGCTATTGCACCCGGTTCAGCTGCCGCTCGATTCGCATGTAGTTGCGTCTGGAGAGGATTCGATCGCGAGCATAGCTAACCAGGTAGCTCAGTAAGCCGAGTACCAGGCAAAAGACCTCGAATTTCAGGAAGTTCATCTGCTCGATCAGCGCCACGCGGTCGCAGCTCCTGGTCACGATCTCGCCGCTCTGGCAGCGCAGCACCTCCTTGTAGTGCGTGTGGATGCAGACGCCCAGACTCCGGCTGACTATGTCGAATTCGGAGCAGGGATGGCACTCCTGCACCATCGTGTACTTCTCGTTCCGCCAGCACGTCGAGTTGTCCTCGATGACGAACTGCGGCTCCCGGCGACGAGGTCCCTCCGCCGCATATCGGGATTCCACGAAGAGCACTAGGATTGTGACCATTGTTAGGGCTCCCAGTCCAAGGAGCATATGATGGCGTTGGCAGTTCTCGAGCATTGTGGAGGCGGGAGGATGGCTCTCTTATTGGATTAATTCGCGGTAGAATCTAGGGGGTCTAGGTTTTAGTGGGTGATTCAATTTCTAGACGGGATTACCTCTGTTTCTGATTCCACTTGTTATTGTTTTGTTGTTGTTTTTTTAGGCCACTTTTACAGTGTGACCACAGCTGAAACATTGACATTTACTGGTTCGTTTGGAAAAGCTGTCTTTAGAACTAGTTCGCGCATTAATTAAGAACATACGTGACTCATCTATTAACGCCTTTTTTTTTTTTAATAATTAGGTCCCCAATATATTAATCTAAGTATTACATATTACATTACTATTTACATGACTTATATATTAACACCTTTTTGTAATGTATAACTAATTTTCCCCCCAATATGAATGTTAATCCAAGAATTGCTGTTAAGTATTTAACATGATAAAAAGATAAGGTTAATCAAATATTGTATACATTCTGTTTTTTAATTATGTAGTTTAATCATTTAATCACCGAAAACCAGATTCAAGATTTCCCAAAACCAGTTTGTTGTGCAATTTTCCATTAATTTAAATTGAAATTAAGATATTTTATTTTAATTTCTTAGCTACTTCGTTTCCTACTATTTTCTAGAAATATTTTTAGAGTGCTTAGTTTAAAACCAAATAGTAACGTTATCATTAAATTGAATACCGAAATATAAAACATTTCATGCTTTAGTATTATTTTGCATAGTTTTATATAGCTTAAGATTATAATTTTAAATTTATAGAATAAGTCTTCGTTTTTTAATGGTTTATCCCTGAAAAAAAAGGTCACGGAAAGGTTACTACTCATTCGTAGTTACAAAAGTAACTAGTTCCGCTCCGGTTAGAGGAACTGCAAAGGTGTGACCAGAATGCAACTACAACCGAACTAGTTCGCTGTTTACGAACGAGAATGGACGGAGACCAAAACAATTACGGACGATAGGCACAAAGCGGACGTGAGAAATCTGTGAAAATTTTTATAAATCGCGTGTGTGGGCGCTTTGAAAATGGTGCTGCGATCGGGGATCATAATTCCGTTTCAGTTTCGCGACACGAAGAAGCTGCTGATGATCGGGGTGCCCGAGGAGAACCGCAACCTGAACATATGGGACCTGAAGAACGTGGGTAAGCATGGAGGTGGTGGGTGGGGAGCCCCCCATATAAAAACATGGAGCCCTTCCTATAAAAAACATGAAATAAACCTAATAATTGGTAATTCCTTAGTGCGCGCCGCCTTCGGGATCTATAACTTTGAGTTCCGGAACAAGAAGATCGGCTTCAACATCCCCGACGAGCTGCTCCTGCACTATTTGGCCCAGCGGCACGACCTGACCAACTTCGTCATAGAGATCAGCCAAGGTAAATAGCGTTTAAGTTACGGTTACGGCCAAGTCGCGTTCCCATTAGCGTTTAAGCGGACTTAACCCGGAGTCGCCGAGGATTCCTCGGTCCCATTTTGTAGATCCCTTGTGTTTTTTGTAGACGCGGCGTGTGCGCTTCGCTTGTAAGTCTCTGCAATTGCCATCTGTAATAAAACCCAAATTGTAAAATGCTCCCTCTTGCAGCCCTGGACGATGGCCACGCCAAGGAGCTGCTCTCCTACGAGCCCTCCTGCTCGATGGCGGCTCTGAAGCAGCAGCAGGCGCAGCAGCAGCTGCATAATCCCCACCAGCATCACCATGTGCCACTGCCGCAGCGTTCCAACGAGAGCGCCTCCCATTATGTGCCCGGCTCCCAGCCCACTTCCCCGGCGCTGGGGATGAGCAGCGAGGCCGTGGACTCTCCGCTGGAGCAGCAGGCCAACAACTCCGGCTCCGAGCCCAACGACAATACCCACAAGTTGCGCCTGGGACCGGCCTACGCGGAACGAACGCCCGAATCGCTCACCCAGTCCATCGATCCCATGGACATTATACCCAAGGCGGAGTCCGAATCGGAGGTGGAGCGTCTGCAGCGGGCCTCCCGATTCCTGGCGCGCCAGGAGCAGCATCAGGCGCAGCAGCATCAGCAGCACCAGCAGCAGCAGCAGCTTCTACCCGGTCAGCAGATCTTCCCCAGCTACACGCATCCCTTGCCACCGATGAACGCACCGAATCCCTCCCAGCAGTCGCCCTACACGCCGGGTCTAATGAGTCGCTTCAGAAGTGAGAAGGAGCTCCTAAACCAATCGAAAATCTCTCTTTAATAATTCATATATTTTTAAGAACGCGGCGAACGCATGTCCAAGGACCAAAAGGAACTGTATGTCAAGTTTTTCGAGGACAATCCCTGCATGCTGTCCAACCACCGGCGACACGATGGCCTCACCGAACCTTTGTGGGCCAAGCTGGCCCACATGCTGAACAGCGTGCCGCAGGGCGCGGTGAAGAACGTGGAGGACTGGAAGCAGACCTTCGACGCCTGGCGGTATCGCATCTTCATGTACACGCGCTACAACTCCAAGCTGAGCATGTCGGAGACGAGCGATCCGAAGAACTTCAAGCCCCTGACGGCGACCGACCAGAAGGCGTACGCCATGTGGACCAGCCACAAGCACATAGCGCCGCAGGACTACGAGAAAATGGACATGTTCGTGCCGCTGGACGAGGCGAGCACGGCGACGAACAGCTATGACTACTAAAAACGGGATCAAAGTGCAAGGAAGCAAACTGTTAATGTGTACTTTAACTAGTGCTAAGAAATACAATAACTTTTAAGATACAAAAAGCTGCTTTTTAATGTCATAAGAGAGGGTAGAGCTAAGATTTAATGTTTTTAGAATGTTTTACTAACTAAATACATATTTATTTATTCCAGTTTACGACGTTGCCTTGGACAACTATGTGCTGAATCGCCAGTGCCGCTGTGCGGACCAGAAAATGCTCAACGACTCGCCGACGCCCGAGGAGCCCACCAATCTGTGCCAGCCCAGCAATGTCCTGGAGGCGGCGGCCACTCCGATCATGACGATGCCGCCCTGCGAGGAGGAGGATCACGACCATGAGCACGAGCACGAGGAGAGCATGAAGTACCGGATCGACAAGGGCAGCAGTGGAGCTGCCTCCGCGGAACTGGGCATGCCCGCCTACGAGGCCTGCTCGCCCAAGATGGACTACGACACGCAGGACGAGCTGCCGGATTCACCGCACTCGCAGCCGCTTCCGCCACCGCCGTTGCCTTTGCCCGCGGCCCTGCCGCTCCCACCGCCACCCACCTCGCATCACCAACATCTGCAGCAGCAACATGAGGTATAAAATACGAGGAAACCATAAGAATAAATGGGAAAAACTGGAATTTTTTAATGAAGACCTGAGGGTCAAAGTCTAAATTATAGATAAATGCAGAAATATTTATAAAAACTACGATAGTTTCAAATTGCTGAATCCATCAATCTTCTAGATATTTTACCTAATATTTATTAAATCCCATGTACAAGTTTTTCACTAAATTATTATTATTATATTATTTTAGGCGGAGCAGCAACAAATTTTACAGGAGCGCATCCAACAGGAATACATTATCCAGCAACAACAGCAGCATCAGCACCTACAACAACAGCAACATTTAGCCCTTCTACAGCAACAACAGGAACAACAACAAATTCAACAGCAGCAAGGTGTAAATATGGCCATGGGCACAACTACAACCAATAACATTCGACGTAAGTAGTTCTCAAAAAATATTAAGAGACCTGTAAGAGTTGGGAAAACATTTTTTAAAAGCCTACTCATCTCTTTTGCAAAGAAAAACTTGTATATTTTATCTTAAAATGTTTAATTTCCATTTAGAAACAAAATACAGGTTATTTCGAACTTCATATCCACCCACGCCAATCAGCTTTGCAAGCAATGCAATACAAAGATATAAATTTGGATGCAAATCGGGGAATTTAGACATTAGTTATTCCCAGCGTTCACGTTCATAACGGCAAAGATGTCTAACAGCAGTAATGTGGAGAACTGAATGCAGGAACCAAGAAAAATAGTTATTAGAATTATACTGTTGTAGGATAAAATGCAATTTGTGTATTATTGCGATTCGTAATGATCTCTAAAGGTCTCTAAGAGTTTTTCTAAATAGAAAGATTTAGAGTACACATTTAAATATTCCCTTTCCTTGTAAAAAAGAAATGAGGAAATGTGACTTACGTAGAAAAATAAAGCTCGTTAGAGGAAAAAAATAACTGAGGATTTTTCCAGCTTTAAACATCCCTCTTTTATCCTGTGAAAACAAGGCATTAAAATATTGTTTTAGGTATTATTGACTGTAAATTACCCATTTAATGCCAAGCAGGAGCAATATGCCAGCGATAAAATATAATATGCTAGTTGCTGCGTTAACATAACTATAAATTTGGAAATGTGGATATTGAATATAGTTTTGCATAAGAAAGAGAAAATAAAGCATCCAGATCAATGTAAAAAGCGCACCAAAAACCATACAGCATATTGGATAGCACTTTGCGTAATATTTTGGGGAATTGCGCCTGCACATTAGGGAATAGAATTTTAAAAATATATATAATTTAGCTTCTTTACTTGAATTTATTTTGTACTCCCTGAGCTGTTTACTCCCGTGAACTGAGTTTAAAAGATTCTAGGATTTTATTTCATAGTTCAGAGACTTTTTTGAAAAGGTTCCAGTTTTCAATCCATTGAAAGTTGTATAAATTTGACATAAAGAATGCGGTCAGCTTAATTGCCCATCAAAAAGGAAACATTACAATATTAATACATATTTTATAAAAAAATAATATATTTTAATACAAATAATTACGGTTTTCCATTAAAGCACAAAGTATTCCAATCGCAAAGTCCATAAATAAAAGCAGTGTGTAAATTCGGTTTCACGGACAGACCATCTCAAGCGCATTCCAAATTTATCAGATGTATAATATTTGCATTAATTTGACCATACGTTTGAATAATGATGATTTAAATATTTTTACTGATTGCCTGAACGAACAATGTTGTTAATTAATCCCAAATCCAAATTTTAACTCACCCGCAGAACGCAAGGAGCGCAT